AATCTACTCTGAATTGGCAACGCCACTATCTCTTTAAATCTTTGTTTTACCCTTTCCACTTTGAAAATAAAAAAACTCTTTTAGGTTTATGCGAGACACTTTTATCCAACCTCTCAAATCTAAGCTAACCTTCTATGCAGTATATATAAATAAAGCATAATATTATGTAATAAAAATTTAACAGCAATTTCTTAATTTACATTGGAATTACCTTAACCCATTGAGAGTATATTCAAAACAAAGTCAAAGCAATTATAATTCTTCTTATACTCGTCTTATCAAAGTACAAAGCAGCAGTTACCGCTAATCAATTGAAATTAATGATTTAAGAAATTTATTTTGGTATATATATGATACTAAAAAGCATTCATACATACATATATCATCATTATTGCTTCTAATACTGACTTGAGGCCTTAACATTGAAATTTTGAGTCTCGTCGTTATCACCAAAAACAATTACAAAATAAATTCAGAATTAAACGGTAGACGAGGCTTGACCCATTTGTTGTTTATTTAATTTTTATTTGGTTACTTCTTTGATAATCAGAAATATTCGTTTTATTTGTTTTGAAAAAAAAAACTGTTTCCTTCACGACACAAGCAAACTTTTTTATAAATTAGACAAGTCATTTAGATTTTTTACATCGGTTTTAAGCTATGGAAGTGTATTTCAATTTTTTGCTTTGTATATATTATTACTATTAAATGGAACCGTCCTGTTAGCATAGTACAGTGTGTACTATAACTGCACCATACACAGCCTGATTTCAAATCTCATTAAGATTTAATCCAAAGACATACATTATAAAATCTACAAACAAACAAATGCCTTGTTTGATGCTTTGACTTCGTTTAAGGAATAGAGCTTCAAGCCACCCAAAATCGCAAAAAGAAAAATGGAAATCTATATAGATGTCAAACTACCGCTTGAAGTCACCCAAATTCACTAAAAGAAAAATGGAAATCTATATAGATGACGAAATACCGCTGTACCTTACAATCAGCCAGAGTAAGTCGTCCTCAGCTGCTTTTAAGTTGAAGAATTTCGCACTGCGATGATCCCACAAAGGGATCATGTCTCTGAAGTTCCTCGTATTGAACCAAAATCACAGAATCATATTTATTTATCCATTATCGAATCTCAACCTAAGATAGTTAAAGTTCATTACTTACTACAGTAATTATATTTATTTAATAACAAGATTGCAAAATATATTTTAATAAACTAAATTCGTGGTCTAAACTATTGTCCTTAGTAGACTCAGGTATTGCCATCATTTAAATTTGATTGCTTAATATTAATTAAATCTAAAAGTATACTGGTATATATGTTTTCTACACTTCGTATCAAGAGCTTGAAGTTCTTATTTTAGTATTTAAAATTTTAAAAATTTTCCAATCTCGGAAAGAAGTCAAACCCAAATTCAAATTCATCTTCCATCCCATACATGAAACACAATACAATTCTGAGGATTTTAAATCTACAAATAAAAATAATAAAAAATATTAAAATCTATTGTAAATCCATCTACTGTTTTTTTTTTGCGATGACTTTCCACCTAACACCTCTTAAGAATGGATGAAAAAAATTTCCAATTGCATGTCCAGGGATGCAATTAGTGAAACTTCATTCCAGTTATTAGGAATGATAGTTGAGATGAATTACCTTAGAAGTTTGGGTTAATTCTAAATTCTGTGACCAGCGTCACAAAAACCATGGTAATAGGGGTGAAGGAAGTAACTGAATCTAATCGAAGTATGAGGTCACATATTTGTGGGATATATGACACATGGTAACAGAGGAAATGATGCTAGGGGTTGAAATGTTAGAAGAAGTGAGATATCTCGGGTGATATCGCGGATAAAATATCATTGAGCGAACGTTAGGAGGTACTCATTCATCAATGTAAATAATCTGAGCTTTCTTAAAGCAGAAAGAAATGAGGAAACGCCAACCACCACGTTTGTGCTTGCAGTTGTTGCAATTTTGGAGAATCTTTCGCTCAGAAAGACAGCTAATCCTCAAATCAATTAGAAAAGATAACTCCTAATGTATAATTTAAGATAATTTAAGACATAAAACAATAAAGAGACCTGCAGTAGAATATGAATAATAGCGAGTACAAACGATGGTAGTACTGAGATGAAACAACCTCAGGTTTTAATTAAGAAACGTAACTATCTATTTGATAAGAGACTATTGATATAATATATTTGAATTTATAACATTTTATAGCTGAACAAATATACGATATCATATGTCATATTATTTCTTGATTTAAAGATTGTAATTTTAGATTAAAATTTAATTTATTATTGTCATTAAATTAGCAAAAATAATATACGCAGCATATTTTAAATAACTATTTGCCATTGATAAAAATAATATAATATTTAATATTATTTATAATATGATATCATATACAACAATAAAACTTTTAGCATAGAATAAATAAATCAATAATGGTTTCACTCTAATTATAATATCTCCCAAATGTTCAAAAGGCTGATCCTAGCTTTGAAATCTGAACTAATTATAATTTTTTTAAAATAAGTTTATTTATAAAACTAAAAAAATTATTAAAAACAAACCATAAAAGATTAAATAATTTAAAAAAAAAAATTATGTTTATGCTTTCAAAATTGTTGGTGCTTTTGCTACTCGAAATTTTGTTTTTTGATAACGAACCAGAAATTTTCATCTCCTATTTGGTATAAAAGTAAAACATTTTTGGAAATAATTTAGTTGAAGTACAGAATTCACAAGTACCTCTTTTATAAAAAAACAAATAATATAAGAAAATATGGCTAAATTTTTGGTAATTTCCAATCAAAATAAAAATTTAAGAAAATAAACTGAACAGTTTTTTAAATTTTAGATTGTCTTCCTTGCACTCATTGCTGTTGTCCTCGCTGGCGGATATGGCCAAGGCGGACATGGTCAACAAGTCGGACATGGTCAACAACAAGGCCATGGCGGTTTCGGTGGTCAACAAGGCCATGGAGGATTTGGTGGTCAACAAGGCGGACATGGTCAAGGTGGATTTGGCAAGGATAGTCATGGATCACATGGAGGATTTGGATCACAAGGTGGTCATGGAAACCAGGGTCATGGAAACCAAGGACATGGCAATCAAGGACATGGAGGTCGCGGAGGACATTATTAAGAATTCGAAGGATAACGGCATCACTAAATAAAAACTAATATGAAAAATTTAATAGAATTCTTTTATTTTGAAGCTTTTGTATGTAACGAAAAGTGTACCACATTAGTTACTTTATATTCTTACATACTACTACTGATTTTCTGAACTTCTTCTGGAGCATAGGGCCTTCACCATCGATTTAAATTGTATTCTGCTAGGAACTGTTCTTGTGACCTCATGCCAAGTAAATTCGGCATCTGTGAATTCTTTTTCAATTATTCCACGATGTTCCTTGTGGTGCACCGGGTAACCGACTACCTTGTAGGTTCCATCGCAGTGCTTGCCTTGAATATTCTTTACACACCCTATTAATACTCTAATTTAAGAAACACTAAAAAATCGGCAAGGCTTTTATAAAAAGGTTTGTAGTTAAACTGTAATTTTGTTTGTAGTATTCCTCTCCAAAATCACAGAACGGTATTTTGAAGGAGAGATTGTTGCTTGGTTTAATTAAGTTGAAGACCACATATTATAAGCTAGTGTAACTCAGTGAACCTAAGATAACTTAAGAGTGAGTTTGAACAAACACTTATCTATAGCATAAACTATATTTAGTAATCTTATTTATTTGATAGAAATTTAAGCGGTTTAAGAACATAGTTTAGAAAAGTAATTTAAGGAAAATTTTTTTTCTTTTAATAGTAGGTGTATATCATAAAGAATAAAATTATATGACAGATTGTATTTCATTTTAAAAAAAATGACCTATTTATATAC